TGGCTATTTCCCATTCCACGGGTTTAATTTGTTTTGTTGATGTCAGGGATGGATTTAGAACAGTAGCAGAACACTATTTTGAAAACGATCAAGTTTGTGGAATGATTACGTTCTCACCTGACTGTCGATCTCTCATTTGTTGTCATGGGACACTGGGAGATCTCACTCTTGGTCTACATTATCGTTTGAATGTCAATATAACGGAACACCCCAGCTGTACCTTAGATGTTTTGAATGGCTTGTCGTCTTGGGAATTGGAATCACCCGGTGTGGCTGGCTTTTTGTTAGGAGATCCTGTTTTGCCCTGGGATGGTGAGTTTGCTTTTGTGTTACATGTAGATGCGCTAACAGTATTGAAAGATCATTGCTACCGTCGTGTCTTAGAGATGCTGAATATCAATGAACTACGCAAAACTGTGAGGAAAACAAGAACTGACGAAGTAATTCATCTTTTGCCCTCTCGGTTTCGCACAATGATGAGAATGATGAGGGTCGCACTGTCTTTGACTGGGGAAACCGTTTATGTTCTCAGTGGTTGTGCGAGAAATGCAATGGTTACGGCTTGGGACGTTTCAAGTGAGGAACCCGTTGGCCAGGTCGATTTTTTCGAGAATTCATGTTTTGAAGCTCGCTTGAAAGAAGGTGTCCTACTATCAACAGCAAATGGTTGTCTTGAGTTGTGGAATTTTGAATTGTCAAACTGCATCCGACGCTGGCCTAACTTGGTTCAACCCATGGAATTCACACAGATAGTCCCCATATCAGAAGAGCGGGTGGCGTTAAGAAGTGAGAAAAAAGTGATCATCCTGAATACCACAACCTCAGAGATCGTGTCGATTCCAGTTGATCGTAGATATTTTGTCACATGTAACAGTAAATGTCAGGTGTTAACCTACAGCTCCGATTCACTTCAGTTGTTAGATGGACAAAGTACTCTCTGGAAAACCGATCTCCGTCTCCCAAGGAGAGGTTTACCCCCGATTGATTCCGTTGGAGTGTTTTCACTTTCTGAACAGTTTGTTGTCATTTTGGCCATAACAGAAGTGGTTGACGTAGGAGTGTACGTCCTTGATGCATTTTCAGGAAGAATACTACACATTTTATGCAAACGCGTTAGGCGTCTGTTTGGTTGCCAATTTGTCAGTGAAGAGGAATGTGTTATCCTCTCCGAGGGTGCCATAGAAGGTTCTACCCTTCGACTATTTAACATTGAGTCTGGTGACCTGCTGAGCGTAATCGACCTGCAAAGAAAACCGTCTCATTTAGCAGTCTGTCCTCGTAAACGTCTCCTCGCCATTGACCAAAGTGACTCTGAACTCGGATTTGAACTTATCCAAGTGCATTTGCCCCGAGATAAAGACAGCAGGAATAACAAAAGGTGAACCTTAACGAAAAAAATTAGATGTTTTACAAGTCAATGACTCATCAAACAGTGTTTTATTTTGATACATTGCGTTACCCAGTATCTGATGTTTTACTTCGAGCTCATGTGCAAACCACAAGTTACGTGTAGTCTATATCTTATAATACATTTTTTCGCTGGATTTTAAATTAACCATTTTTAAGAAATGTGTGTTATTGTATCACTCCAGTCGATCAACGTGGAATCTTAGTGCGATTTTGAGTGTTACTGATTTGGTGTTACGTAAACAATTGTTGCTTGGCAATTGTGTTTTGTTGTCTCAATTTTTCACCGCAAAGGTGAGAAGAAGCACAAAATCACAATGAATTAGAACAGTTTGTTTTATGTTTTAAGTGTATTACAAGGGATTTCAGTGTTACTTTAGTTATGGATTTACTAGAGCGATTTTCTCTTGAATCTATAAACAATATCCTCAATGTAGCGCGAAAATATGCTCGGATATTTTCCGCAGACATTATCTATTCCGAGAAGCGAACAGTTTCCGAGAGCGTAGCTAGAGGAACAGATAATGTCCGTGGAAAAATATCCAAGCATATTTTCCCGCTAAATAGAGGCTATTGTGTTTATTATTTTGCACCACGCACGCAGTTTTGAAAATTGCGGAATATCAATCCGATATTCCTCAGTTTTAGCTGGCCCTTAATCAGTCTCTGACTCGCTTAGACCATTCGCACGCGAGCGAAAATATTTGATGGATTATAACGACAGTTATTAGCATTTCCTTTGGTTTAACTCATTNTGGCCCTTAATCAGTCTCTGACTCGCTTAGACCATTCGCACGCGAGCGAAAATATTTGATGGATTATAACGACAGTTATTAGCATTTCCTTTGGTTTAACTCATTTGCACACTTTTTTTTTTCTCGCGCTTCGCATCTACATGTATTTGTTTCGAGGTTTGACTGATTCACTGGATTGCCTGTGTTCTTTGTGATCTGCATAAGTGATTACTTTGGCTTTGGTTTTACGACACTCAATTGAAAACCGCTCTTAACTCTCTTTATACAACTTGACGTAAAACTATTATTCATAGGATAGAATAGCAACCTCTTTCTTCTGTTAAAGGATCTTTGTTATTATTTTTAACAGGATGCCTGCCAACACACCACAGGTCGAAAAGAGCCCAGGAAATAGCAGACGGTATGCTGTTAGTGTAGATTTTTTAGCGGCATTTTCACCCTTTTTTTTTAACCGCTCTTGGTATCGGCTTCATATATTTGTTTCGAGTTTTAATTGGTTGACTAGATTGCCTGTGTTCTTTGTGACCTGTGTGAGTGATTTCTTTGGTTTTGGACACTCAATTAAAAACCGCTCT